GGGGGAAAGTCCTTTGTATTGTTGTGGCAAGTGAGCAGGCTTGATTGGCTCCTGGGTGACAGTCTGCCTCTGTTCTCTGCTGCGCTCCTCTGTCCAGGTGCTGACCCTGGCCAGCAATGAGCGTGTAGCTCTCAGTCCCTCCATGAGGCTTCTGTTTGAGATACATCACTTAAGGACAGCAACCCCAGCGACTGTTTCCAGAGCTGGGATTCTATATGTGAACCCACAAGATTTGGGCTGGAATCCGTGAGTATTTCTTTAAAAAAAAATTTTTTTTGTCTTTTGTGGTAAAATATACACATAAAATTTACCATTTTAACCATTTTTCAGTGTACAGTTCAGTGACATTAAATACATTCACATTGTTGTGCAACCATCACCACCATCTATCTCCAGAACTTTTTTCACCTTCCCAGACAGGAACTCTGTACCCATTAAACAGGAATCATCCATTCATCACTTCCCCCAGCTCCTAGAAGCCTTCTTTCTACTTTGTCTCTATGAATTTGACTATTCTAGGTATTTCATATAAATGGAATCACAGTATTTTTCCTTTTGTGATAAGCTTATTTCGCTCAGCATAATGTCCTCAAAGTACATCCATGTCATAGCATATTGCAGAATTTTTTTTAAAGGATGAATAATCTTCCATTGTGCGTATATACCACTTTTGTTTATTCATCAACTGATAGACACTTGGGTTGCTTTTACCTTTTGGTTATTATAAATAATGCTGCTATGAACATGGACATGCAAATATCTTTTCAAGACTCTGCTTTCTGTTCTTTTGGATGTATACCCAGAAGAAGAGTTGCTGGATCATGTATTAATTCTATTTTTAAGATTTTGAGGAATGCCATACTGTTTTGCACAGCAGCTACACTATTTTACATTCCCACCAACAGTGCACAAGGGTTTCAGTTTATCCACACCCTTTCCAAAATTTATTTTGTTTTGTTTTGTTTTGTTTTTGATAGTATCTGTGCTAATAGGTGTAAGATGGTATTTCACTATACTTTTGATTTACGTTTCTTTAATGAGTAGAGATGTTGAGCATCTTTTCATGTGCTTATTGGTCATTTGTATATCTTCTCTGGAAAAATCTCTATATAAATCCTTTGCCCATTTTTTAATCAGATTTCTTGGTGAATATTTCTCTTTTTTTAATTTTAGTTTTAAAAAGCTAAACATTAAGAAGTTAAACAGAAAATCAAAAATTTTCTTGAAATTAATGAAAATAAAGACACATCATACCAAAACCTGTGGGATACTGCAAAAGCAGCACTAAGAGGGAAGTTTATTGCAATAAAAGCTTACACCAAAACAGAAAGATTTCAACTAAACAATCTAATGCTATACTTCAAAGAACTAGAAAAACAAGCACAATCCAATCCCCAAATCAGTAGATGGAAAGAGATAATTAAGATCAGAGCATCACTAAGTGAAATGGAGACCCCAAAAATGATATAAAAGATTAGTGAAACAAAAAAGTTGATTTTTTTGAGAAGATAAACAAAATAGGCAAAACATCAGTTAGGCTAACTAAAAAAAGAAGAGAGAATATCCAAATAACAAAAATCAGAAGTGAAAAAGGGCAAGAATCACTAAGGCTATTATATACAACTATACACCAACAGATTAGAAAACCTGGAGGAAATGGATAAATTTCTGGACACATACTAACTACCAAGACTGAACCAAGAAGAAATAAAAAACCTGAACAAACCAATAATAAGCAACGAGATTGAAGCAGTAATCAGCATTTTCCCAAGAAAAAAGAAAGCCCAGGAGTGGAAAGCTTTCCTGCTGAATTCTATCAAACCTTTAAAAGAGGAATTAATACCAATTCCCTTCAAACTACTACAAGTAGTTGAAACAGAGGCCATTCTCCCAAACTCATCCTATAGGCCAGCATCTCCCTGATACCAAAACCAGACAAAGATACAACAAAAAAATAAAACTACAGGCCAATATCTCTGATGAACAAAAGATTAGCAACCGGAATACATCAACATATCAAAAAAATTATGCACCATGACCAAGTGGGATTCATCCCAGGGATGCAAGGGTGGTCCAACATATGCAGTTCAATAAACGTGATACACCACGTCAACAAAATCAGGGACAAAAAACCACATGATCATCTCAATAGATGCAGAAAAAGCATTTGACAACATCCCTTCCTGATAAAGGCTTTCAGCAAATTAGGTATAGAAGGAAAGTATCTCAACCCTATAAAAGCCATATAAGACAAACCTGCCACCAGTATCATCCTGAATGGGGAAAAGCTGAAACTTTTCCTTTAAGAACAGGAACAAGGTAAGGATGCCCAGCCCCACCACTCCTATTTAGCATAGTGTTGGAAGTACTAGCCTGAGCAATCAGGCAAGAGAAAGAAAGGGCATCCAGATTGGAAAAGATGAAGTCAAACTATCCCTGTTTGAAGATGATGTGATCTTGTATATACAGAAAAACTTGAAGACTCTACCAAAAAACTCTTAGAGCTGATAAATGATTTCAGTGATGTTTCAGGATACAAAATCAACATGCAAAAATCAGTGGCATTTTTATATTCCAATAACAAACTAGCAGAAAACGAAATCAAGAAAGCAAGCCTATTTACAATAGTCACCCAAAAATAAAATACCTAGGAATCAATTTAACCAAGGAAGTGAAAGTTTTCTACAATGAGAACTACAAATCACTACTGAAAGAAATTGAAGAGGACATGAGAAGATGGAAAGACATTCCATGTTCATGGATTGGAAGAATTAACATTGTGAAAATGTCCATACTACCCAAAGCACTCTACAGATTCAATGCAGTCCCCATCAAAATACCAATGACATTCTTCACAGAAATAGAAAAAGAAATCTAAATATTCATTTGGAGCAACAAAAGACCCCAAATAGCCAAAGCAATCCTGAATAAAAAAAAAGAAAAATATTGCGGATGGAGGCATTACAGTATCTGACTTCAAATTATACTACAAAGCTACAGTAACCAAAACAGCATGGCACTGGCATTAAAAACAGATACTCAGACCAATGGAACAGAATAGAGAACTCAGAAATCAACCCACATGCTTACAGCCAACTGATATTTGACAAGGGCAACAGGAACATACATTGGGGAAAGACCGCCTCTTCCCACATGCTTACAGCCAACTGATATTTGACAAGGGCAACAGGAACATACATTGGGGAAAGACTGGGAAAGTAAGTGGTACTGGGAAAACTGGACATCCATATGTACCACTTGCCATATACCAAAATCAATTCAAAATGGATTAAAGACATATATAAGACTGTAAATTATAAAACTACTAGAAGAAAACATAGGGGAAACATTTCAGGAAGTAGCACTGACTGGGCAAAGGCTTTATGAATAAGACGCCAGAAGCACAGGCAACAAAAGAAAAATTAACAAATGGGATTATGTCAAACTAGAAAGCTTCTTTATTTTAGTTTATTTTATTTTTGGCTGCAAAACAAGTCTTAATATGTTTTAAATGACTAAGATCATAGAAAATATGTTCTCTGACCAAAATAACAGAAGGAAATTTAGACAATTCACAAATGTGTGGAAATTAAATAACTCGCTCCTAAATAAACAATGGATAAAAAGAAAAATCACAGGGAAATTAGAGAGTACTTCAAAATAAAAATCAAACCTCAACCTATCAAAATGCAGTACTTAGAGGAAAATTTATACTTGTAGACACCTATATTAAAAATATGAAAAACCTCAAACCAGTAATGTAAACTTCTACCTCAAGAAAATAGCAAGAGAACAGCAAACTAAACCAAAAGCAAATATAAGTAGGAAATAACAAAGATTACAAATATAAATAGGAAATAACAAGAAATTATGTAATAGGAAATTTAAAAAACAATAGAGAAAATCAACAAAACCAATAGCTGATTCTTTAAAAAATTAACACAATTTGCAAACCTTTATCTAGACTGACCAAGAAAAAAAGAGAGAAGACAGAAATTTCTGAAATCAGAAGTAAAGCAGGGGCATGGTAGAAAAGTTGCTGCTTCTATTATGCTTGAGGTGCTTTGAAGAGAGAGATTTCTTCTTTTTTCTTGTCTCCACTGGTGACACTCCCTGTGTCACTGCAGTCAATTGTCTGGCATGTCACCTGCATGGTATCGGTGGCTACTGCTATGGTGTTGAGCCATTTTTGCAGCAGCTGTGGCAGTGGCTGTGGTGGACCACCCACATGGAAGTGGTGTTTTCAACATGCTCCTTGCCTGCTTCTGGGTGGAGGGGGCTGTCCTTGGCCAGGTCAGGGATTTTATAACCTATTTTCAGTTTATTGTACTTTTTAAATTTCTACTCTTTTGAGTCTTATTCTTATTTGAATATATATATATATTTTTTTTCTCCCATGTTCTTCTGTGCATTTAAATATGTTTTTCTATTTAACAAAATCATCATTTTCAATGAAAAAATTTCATTTCTTTTATTTACTTATGTATTTATTGGCTTCCTTTTAAAAATTTCTCTGAGATCTCTTCGGGAGTTGCAGAGGACAAGAGCTTTACAACCTTTTCATGAGATTTACCTCCCTTACCAAAGACTATATCACTCTTTCTCAGTTCTGAGACTTGGAAAGATAATGACAGAGCTCAGCATTAGCCTTTTCTTCAGATGCAGGTGCCACAATAGCTTTATTTACAGCTTTAGCTGTGAAATCTGTTACAGCATTTTGTTCTGAGACAGGTCTGTCATGGATAGCTATGATGACACAATCTTTAAGATCAACTGCCACAGGACCTAAGGGAGGAAGGGGTATCTCTGGTTTCTTGCTCTGGCTTTTACCCCTTTCACCATCACAGGACTTGCCAGTGGCCTCATTTGTCACACCAACTTTCTTAGGCATCTCAGTACCAGAAAGAAGTCGAGCAGAGAGGCCCCACGCTGCCTCAGCCCACAGCCAAGCCACAGCATCCCTGCCTGCTGAGGCACCAGGGAGTGTAGTCCCCTGAAAATCTTCTGCCCCCAGCAAAAGAAACAGTCTGCAGAGCAAAAAGACTACCTACAGAATGGGAGAAGATATTTGCAAACCATGCATCTGACAAGGGGTTAACATCCAGAATATACAAAGAATGCAAACAACAGTAAAAAAAAAAAAAAAAAAAAAGTAACATTTAAAAAATGGGCAAAGGAGCTGAATAGGCATTTCTCAAAGGAAGACATACAAATGGCCAACAGACACATGAAAAAATGCTCAACAT